AAACTTTGTTAGCAGAAGTGCCGAAAAGCGCTATGAAACTTTCTGGTTCCGATATCCTGACGGATGTCTAGTCGCACAGGCCGAAATTCAATTGGGGGTTGTGTTCCGACCAAGACACAACTATCCCAGACCCCGGACTCATCCTGCTTCAGTGTGTTTCTTGAGCACAATACTAGGTAGACGCGACCAACCCTTGATTGCAATGTAACACTGGCTGTCGGTTAGTTACTTTCACTTTTACTGACGTCCAAGTCTTGTTCAAAATAGAATCTCTGAAATAAATCATTTCCCTCAATCCAACAACTATGCTCTCTAAGCTTGAAATAGTAAATTACTAAACTGGTATACGTTGCCAAAGCAAACTGCTGGAGATAAATGCTTGGGAAACTGGCTGCGGGCTAGCCGGTATGTTCATAGGCAGTAGATATATTGCAACGACTTTGGCCACATTTTTGCTGCAAAATAATTACGCTTTCGGGCCCCATGAAGGAGTAGGTGCGTATAGGCACCTGTACTATCATTAGGTGGGGCTTGAAGCCAATTGTATCGGTTAAAACTTCCAAAATTGTATCAAGACAACAAGAACGAAATCTGTAGCCTAATCAGACATCCCGAACGTCACTGCCTTACGGATTAGGCCTTTATCCATAGGCTAGGAGGGAGCAGGTACATCACCCGTATTACATTCCCGCAAATCCCAGTGAAATACAGTAGCGCACATCAAAAGACCAACTGGGCAACGACGGTCAGCAAGAAAGCTGCATTTGTCGTTTGGAAGACGGTAATGGACGTGATTGTCTGCTGTGCACCACATGTATCATCTACTTCTGTTGGTTTACAAATTTCCAGATAACGCGTGCAGACGCAGAATACGACTTTTAAGTTACTAGTAATTAGTCCAGCATGCAAAAAGACGTTTCCAAAAGCGAGGTATGTTTCGACTCATCGACTTTGGTGATAACTGTGGGCAAACAAAATTGAATATAGTCGAAGATTAAAATGGGACGACTGACAACATCTTCTGGAGCTTAGGCAGAAAATAGACTGCTTAAAAGCAACATGTCTACTGAGACTTATGTTTGCTGATCCTAGCAAATACAAGGTGTTTAATGGGATAGCGAGTAAAAAGTAAAACACTTTAACTGGAATAGCTTCTTCACGCTAATCGTTTAGTGTATTTCAGACATACCAGTGCTGTTAGGACACAGCCGTGCCAGAAGTTCATAACGGATATCCTTTTCGACCGACATGGAGCGCGCATGAATCTTGAAGATGTGCGTTCTTCCTTCCAAATCCGGAAGGCCAAACTCAACTTTTCGATCCAGACGACCGGGCCGTACTAAGGCGGGGTCGAGGGTGTCTGGTCTGTTAGTTGCCATTAAAACCTAGAAAGATACGTGGTGAAGTATGCAAATGTCGTACTTTGATGTTTCCGCGGGGATCAAAACCATCAAGCTGGTTTATCAGTTCCAACATTGTTCGCTGAACTTCATTATCGCCGCCAGCGCCATCATCAAAACGGGCACCTAAAAGCAATTGAAACTGAAAAAATTGCTAACCTCCGATGGCATCAATTTCGTCAAAGAATATGATGCACGCTTTCTTGGAGCGTGCGAGCTCGAACAGTTCTCGAACCATACGAGCACCTTCTCCAACGTACTTCTGAACAAGTTCAGAGCCAATGACGCGAATGAAGCATGCATCAGTTCGATTAGCAACTGCACGGGCACAAAGTGTCTTTCCGGTTCCGGGTGGGCCGAAAAGCAGAACACCCTTGGGTGGTTCGATGCCCAGACTGACAAACTTCTCGGGCTAGAACGTGAATAATAGAAGATACAAATGTGAAAGGGGATCATGGAATAGCGAGAACGATGCGACGGCTAGTACCATATTCGCAAAGACAGGTAAAAGAATGCAAAAAAAGGAGACAAACTTATATCTGGTGCCTAAATGCTAAAATATTAGTAAACACATCTCCCGAGAGAGACAGGCTTAGTCAGTCGTCTTTTCTCGTGGAAACGTCCATCAGTGATAGTTTGATTGATTACCGCAGTGTCAAACAAAATGTCAATATTACGATTATAACCGCAACTAAACATAATATTGTTACAGTGGGTCCATGGACGCAGTAAAGATGTTGACTACAGGTCTCACTTAAAAACTAACATTTGTAAAAGCAAATGAAGAGGCCACTCCATACATTAGTGAGAGGTAGTGGAACGATAGGGTATATGGGGAAATATCATGGTCAACCCGTTTAATATTCGATCTGATGTTTGATAAGATTATATTCTACCGTCCATTTCGTCCAACTTTGACGAGAACCGGTGCTTTCTACGTGGTATGGTCGCTGACACCAAACCTCCCTATGGTGGATCCATCTCTTCTCCTCTCCATCTATTTTT